AGCGTCTTTCTTAAAGCACTGTCAAATGCAAAATGATGTGTGACAGCCTGTACAAAATTATTTGTAGCACCACAGTAAAACACAGACTGCAATTCTTGTAATGAAAAAGGCATCTAACTTACCCCTCTTTTTGTGAAACCACATATCCATCCAGCACCTTGAGACTGAGACACCAGCTGACGACATACGGGCGATAATCGCAGCGGGGCAGAGCCGTGACACACGGGTTACTCATGACGCACAGCTGCTCCAGGCCGTGTAACGGTGCTAGATACGACACCTGCACATGACACACACAGAAACATGTTAAACACTAACATCCATGACACATGATTAGGGCTGCTAGTCTGAATAATTATAATCGAATAATGAAATACATTTGACAGTATAATACATCTGAGGAGAAAAGCCCTCAAATGAAGATAATTCAATGACATAACATCTAAAACTACTGAACACACAAAGTGGCCCATATATGTTCTATTAAACATGAATCAGTCACAGGTCTATGGTCCACATCAACCAGTTTCTGAAACAGATTTAAGAATTGTTCATTCAGGTCGTTGTTGTGTTGCATCTGTGCTGTTTTCATGCAGACTGACGGCTCTGGACGATCCATCGCTGTATTTCTGCCACAAGTGACGTGTTTGTGAGACGCTGTGTTAAATTCAGAACACATTCTGTGAGATTACTCTCTAGGGCTCAGCGATAAGCCTGGGACCCATCTGAGGTTTTCAGGCCAGGCGACATAAGTGTCACTTGCTCTATTGTTTGTCACTGAACCTTGCGTTTGTTGATCTGGTGAAGTAATAATAATAAAACATAATAAACTTACACATCTGGTATTGTGTCATGTACTGAACACTGATATTGTGGATTCTTCTCATGATTTTAGTAAATGATTAAAACATTTATAAATAATTTTCTTATACTAAATTAATGAGGCATGAAATGGAAGTTATGATAATCCTCTCTTCATTATTGTAATGTATATCCCAGTAAAAAGGCTTTTTGAATGAGAAAAAAAATGTAGGGCGGGACTTGATTTTATCCAATAGATAATTTATGTGGAATGTTGTCATGTGATTGACAGTTTGCCCCGCCCTCACGCACACGTCATCAGAGCAGAGACCAGATGCAAGAGGGAAGTTACTTGGATAAAAGATTACGAGGGCACATGAATTCAAAACATGATGTGCACAGATAAATCATTTCTAAATATGGCAATATTCCATAAAAAAATAAGAACTGTCAATTTGACAGTTACAACGCTACAATCCATCACGCTCCCTAAGGTCGCAAAACTCTGGACTTTTGGTAGTACCTAGGATAGCAAAGTCCACTAAAGGAGGTAGAGCTTTTTCGCATTTGGCTCCCAAACTCTGGAATAGTCTTCCTGATAACGTTCGGGGTTCAGACACACTCTCCCTGTTTAAATCTAGATAGACACATATAGACACATCTCTTTGGCTAAGCATTCAAATAATGCATCTCATAATCTTGTACTGCAGTTATATCTGATCAAATGCACATTATTATTCTTTAGTTTGGGTTAAACAAATCAATTTTGCTTGGTTGGAACTTGGTTATGTCTCCTTAACATTAAGCAGCACATCCCAGACAACATTTTTCCGGTTTTTGATTATTTGGACGTTTTGTTGGACATTCTAGTCGGAGGTACAGCTGTGTTGTTCAAACGCACGTGCAGACGCAGAAGAGGGAAACGCGCCGGCGCCCTGGTGAAGCTCTGTGTGCGCGGCTTTCGGACTGCGCTCCCAAGCATTCATCTTGCGAATGTCCGTTCCCTTCCTAACAAAACGGATGAACTTCTTCTCCTCACCCGCACCAACAAGGACTTTTCAAACTCTGCTGCACTGTGCTTCACTGAAACCTGGCTGAGTGAAGCCATTCCGGACAACGCGCTTCATCTGCCGGGCTACCAGCTGTTCAGAGCGGATCGCATCGCGGAGTTTGTATCGTGAAAAGCGCTATACAAATAAACTTGAATTGAATTTGTCAAACTGATGCAGAAGCTGATGATGAACGCATAGTTGAAATGAAGCAAAACAATAAATGAACAAAACCAGCTGAGGTTTGTGTTGCTAGTCCAGAAGCTCAAATGTTATGAAGGCGTTTGCACTGTCTGTGTGTTTACCTCGCTCAGGTCTCTGATCTCATTCTCTGCGAGCGACAGGACAGTGAGGGTCGCTGGCAGGTGAGCAGGAGCGGTGCGCAGCGTCGTGATGATGTTTCCATGCAGAAGAAGAGTCTGAAACAGGCCTTAAATATCGGTTACACACTCAACGTTTTCTCTGTGTTTTCCTAAAAATATTTCTCTTAACACATTATGAGAGATTACACATGATTTAGCTCTCAAGACAAATGGCAAATACCTTTAACACTGAGAGCTTGGTGAGGTCTCCTATGTGAGAAATATTATTGTCTGACAGATCAAGATGCTGCAGGGAAACGCAGTTGTTGAGCTGCTCGGTGACCTGCACAAACACACACAGATTCAGGAGGAATCAGCCTCAGTTTCAGTGAAATACATGGTAAATGTGAAAAACACCTTGATGTTGTTTCCAGCCAGATTGAGGCTCTCCAGACGAAGCAGGTCCTTCAGGCCCTCGATGTAGCCGATGCTGTTGTTGGGGAGGTTCAGGGTTCGTAAATGAGTCAGCTTTGAGACGCCCATCATGCGCACCAGACGATTACAGGCCACAGACAGCTGTGAACACAGAGCAGGTCACACACACACACGTCTGTATTGACCACAGCTGAAGGCTAGTGTGAACACAGAGCAGGTCACACACACACACACACACGTCTGTCCTGACCACAGGTGAAGGGTAGTGTGAACACAGAGCAGGTCTCAAACACACACACACACACACACACACACACATCTGTACTGACCACAGCTGAAGGCTAGTGCGAACACAGAGCAGGTCACACACACACACACACACGTCTGTCCTGACCACAGGTGAAGGGTAGTGTGAACACAGAGCAGGTCTCAAACACACACACACACACACACACACACACATCTGTACTGACCACAGCTGAAGGCTAGTGCGAACACAGAGCAGGTCACACACACACACACACACGTCTGTCCTGACCACAGGTGAAGGGTAGTGTGAACACAGAGCAGGTCTCAAACACACACACACACACACACACACACACATCTGTACTGACCACAGCTGAAGGCTAGTGCGAACACAGAGCAGGTCACACACACACACACACACGTCTGTCCTGACCACAGGTGAAGGGTAGTGTGAACACAGAGCAGGTCTCAAACACACACACACACACACACACACACACATCTGTACTGACCACAGCTGAAGGCTAGTGCGAACACAGAGCAGGTCACACACACACACACACACGTCTGTCCTGACCACAGGTGAAGGGTAGTGTGAACACAGAGCAGGTCTCAAACACACACACACACACACACACACACACATCTGTACTGACCACAGCTGAAGGCTAGTGCGAACACAGAGCAGGTCACACACACACACACACACGTCTGTCCTGACCACAGGTGAAGGGTAGTGTGAACACAGAGCAGGTCTCAAACACACACACACACACACACACACACACATCTGTACTGACCACAGCTGAAGGCTAGTGCGAACACAGAGCAGGTCACACACACACACACACACGTCTGTCCTGACCACAGGTGAAGGGTAGTGTGAACACAGAGCAGGTCTCAAACACACACACACACACACACACACACACATCTGTACTGACCACAGCTGAAGGCTAGTGCGAACACAGAGCAGGTCACACACACACACACACACGTCTGTCCTGACCACAGGTGAAGGGTAGTGTGAACACAGAGCAGGTCTCAAACACACACACACACACACACACACACACATCTGTACTGACCACAGCTGAAGGCTAGTGCGAACACAGAGCAGGTCACACACACACACACACACGTCTGTCCTGACCACAGGTGAAGGGTAGTGTGAACACAGAGCAGGTCTCAAACACACACACACACACACACACACACACATCTGTACTGACCACAGCTGAAGGCTAGTGCGAACACAGAGCAGGTCACACACACACACACACACGTCTGTCCTGACCACAGGTGAAGGGTAGTGTGAACACAGAGCAGGTCTCAAACACACACACACACACACACACACACACATCTGTACTGACCACAGCTGAAGGCTAGTGCGAACACAGAGCAGGTCACACACACACACACACACGTCTGTCCTGACCACAGGTGAAGGGTAGTGTGAACACAGAGCAGGTCTCAAACACACACACACACACACACACACACACATCTGTACTGACCACAGCTGAAGGCTAGTGCGAACACAGAGCAGGTCACACACACACACACACACGTCTGTCCTGACCACAGGTGAAGGGTAGTGTGAACACAGAGCAGGTCTCAAACACACACACACACACACACACACACACATCTGTACTGACCACAGCTGAAGGCTAGTGCGAACACAGAGCAGGTCACACACACACACACACACGTCTGTCCTGACCACAGGTGAAGGGTAGTGTGAACACAGAGCAGGTCTCAAACACACACACACACACACACACACACACATCTGTACTGACCACAGCTGAAGGCTAGTGCGAACACAGAGCAGGTCACACACACACACACACACGTCTGTCCTGACCACAGGTGAAGGGTAGTGTGAACACAGAGCAGGTCTCAAACACACACACACACACACACACACACACATCTGTACTGACCACAGCTGAAGGCTAGTGCGAACACAGAGCAGGTCACACACACACACACACACGTCTGTCCTGACCACAGGTGAAGGGTAGTGTGAACACAGAGCAGGTCTCAAACACACACACACACACACACACACACACATCTGTACTGACCACAGCTGAAGGCTAGTGCGAACACAGAGCAGGTCACACACACACACACACACGTCTGTCCTGACCACAGGTGAAGGGTAGTGTGAACACAGAGCAGGTCTCAAACACACACACACACACACACACACACACATCTGTACTGACCACAGCTGAAGGCTAGTGCGAACACAGAGCAGGTCACACACACACACACACACGTCTGTCCTGACCACAGGTGAAGGGTAGTGTGAACACAGAGCAGGTCTCAAACACACACACACACACACACACACACACATCTGTACTGACCACAGCTGAAGGCTAGTGCGAACACAGAGCAGGTCACACACACACACACACACGTCTGTCCTGACCACAGGTGAAGGGTAGTGTGAACACAGAGCAGGTCTCAAACACACACACACACACACACACACACACATCTGTACTGACCACAGCTGAAGGCTAGTGCGAACACAGAGCAGGTCACACACACACACACACACGTCTGTCCTGACCACAGGTGAAGGGTAGTGTGAACACAGAGCAGGTCTCAAACACACACACACACACACACACACACACATCTGTACTGACCACAGCTGAAGGCTAGTGCGAACACAGAGCAGGTCACACACACACACACACACGTCTGTCCTGACCACAGGTGAAGGGTAGTGTGAACACAGAGCAGGTCTCAAACACACACACACACACACACACACACACATCTGTACTGACCACAGCTGAAGGCTAGTGCGAACACAGAGCAGGTCACACACACACACACACACGTCTGTCCTGACCACAGGTGAAGGGTAGTGTGAACACAGAGCAGGTCTCAAACACACACACACACACACACACACACACATCTGTACTGACCACAGCTGAAGGCTAGTGCGAACACAGAGCAGGTCACACACACACACACACACGTCTGTCCTGACCACAGGTGAAGGGTAGTGTGAACACAGAGCAGGTCACACACACACACACACACGTCTGTCCTGACCACAGCTGAAGGCTAGTGTGAACACAGCTAACCTGCTGCAGAGCTTCGTTACGCTCCAGGTGCTCCAGCTTGATGATCTGGTTCTGGTCCAGAATCAGCGTGTGTAGCTCCCCGGGACTGAACCACTGCGGATCCAGTCTGTGGAGACCCTGATTCGAAAGGTCTAACAAACCTGGACCTGAATAATAAGAGCACAGGACAAACACTAGAGCTACAGACATCTACACTGATGACACACTTCAAATGGAGAGAAATGGTGTGTGAACTCAGAATAACGCGAAGATTAAAGCTCCCAGTATAAATAAACCAGACCAGGTTTTATAAACAGCAGATTTGTAACGTTAAATGAAATCCTGTCAGCTAATTAGTGTAATAACGGCAGATTTCAGCACATTATGACAAAAACAGATCAGACGTCAAGTTCGTCGGGATCTCCACACTCTGCGCTATAAGCATGATATTCCGCACACACGATGACAGCATGTTGTCTGTCTGCAACGCAAACACATGCCCATCTAATCAATCTCATGGAGGAATGGGTTTTATTGCGCATACCTTCGTAATTTGTCGTTTGGAGCAGCGGATCGGAGAAGATCGCTTCCGCCGGCGCCGCCATACTTCCGCTTCCTTCCCGCCTGTGTCACCGCCAGGCAACCGAGCCACTATTTGATCGGATAAAATAATCTGGAAATAATAATAAATTTGGATATTTTTATAATAACGCGGGTTATAATTATACATCAATTGTATGTTTACTTTGAAAAAAGAATTGATGTTTGCGAAATAAGCTCCTTTATAAACCGCTTACCCACAATTCTTCTTCCTCTTCCCTATCTGAAACGCCGCCATGAAGTGAGTGTAGTCTGTGTTCATCCATAAACATCTTTAAAGTTATCCGCGAAAAGCGCTTGCAGAAGTATTCAGATGTTAATAGTAAGTCAGATGTAGCTATTATAACTCTTATTTTTGACGTGCAGGGTCGATCTGTGCAGTTTTAGCGGGTATAAAATCTATCCCGGCCACGGCCGGCGCTACGCCAGGATCGACGGAAAGGTAAAAGCGCAAACTACGCGTGTTTGATGTCACTGCTGTGTTTTAATCAGTGATTATCGATTAATGAATGACTCTCAGCGTGTTGTGATGTGAATGTTTACGCCTGGCAGGCTTTATTTGGTGATTTAGCCTAGCGCTAGCATGATGGCTAACTACTGTCCTGACCAGAGCTCAGTGTTTAATGTTTAACTTCACGCTTGAGTTGCAGAGCTGAGAGAAGCATCATCTCTGGCCAGTGTTGAAACTGTTGTAGTCTGAGAGGATATTTGAGTGTAAGAACGGAGTAAATGTGATGCCGATCCTCTCGCTCTGCAGGTTTTCCAGTTCCTGAATGCGAAGTGCGAGTCTGCGTTTCTGTCCAAGAGGAACCCCAGACAGATCAACTGGACGGTTCTGTACCGCCGCAAGCACAAGAAGGGCCAGTCTGTGAGTCTGAGCAAGCCTTCGGACAGCAGCTGACGGTGTTCTGCTGAAAAGTACCTCGTGTGCAGTGTTGGGCAGTAACTTACTGTTATAACATTACTTTCTGCAGTAACTAGTACTGTAACTAATTACTAATAAGATTTCAGTAATATTACAGTTACATCCATAAAACAGCTTAGTTACTCTGGGTGCCTCATCCCCGCTGATTTAAAATCCAACAAGCAAATAATTCCTAGATTTATTTTCATAATTGTCGGGACTCGCACATGCATGTGATGCTGCAGCAGGCAAGCTTGGAATATGGAAAAGCTTACATTCAGCAGATAGAAATATTGCATTATCTTGATTTTGTCAGGAAAAGATGATCTGAGCACTGTTGTGTAAGTTGTGGCTTTACTTTACTCTGGCATTACATCCCTCTGATCAGCATGTGCTACATTATATTACTATAATTAAAAATCTTTTGGGAAAATTAAGCTGTTTCTTACGAACTTACGTGTTTTGATAAAATACATAATGAAATATAATCGTATATGTGTAACGGAGAAATGACAATTAGCTTCAAGCTACACCTGACAATTAATGAGATTAATACAACACTTCTACTTAAATGTCACTATCAATCACTAACGAGTGTTAATGACTTCTGACTGTGATCCAGTGTGGTCCAATGATGAGGCAGAAATATGTCGTTAGTAACATTCCAGATTAAGAATTTTGTGGAAGATACACAGTTACTACAACTGTAGGGCGTGAAGAAAAAGTAATGTAACTAGTAGTGTAACTAATTACTGTTGCCAGAAAGTAATGAGTAAAGTAACAATATTACTTTTGGAAGGAGTAACTAGTAATGAGTAATATATTACATTCTTTGAGTAACTAGCCCAACACTGCTGGTGTGTAATGATGCCGGTTTAGAGCATTAGAGAGATGTTTAAATGACTACAGAGCCGGTTCTAGTGTTTTTTTTCAGCAGATGTTTTGTGTGTAGTGCGTGTTGAGTGATTGAATCAGGAGCGCTCAGATGTGTGTTTGCTGCTTTAGGAAGAGGTGAGTAAGAAGCGCAGCCGTCGTGCGGTGAAGTTCCAGCGAGCCATCACCGGTGCTTCGCTGGCTGAGATTCTGGCCAAGAGGAACCAGAAGCCAGAAGTGCGTAAAGCGCAGAGAGAGCAGGCCATCCGGTGAGCACCTCCGGTTCCCTATGCTTTGTCCATTGCTCTTATTTGGTAGTCATAGATGGTCAAATGTGTGTTTTTGTGGTTATGCAGCTGGTTTTGCATGGTTAACTTCTCATGACAAGTTTGTGCTGCATGTTTGACGCATCGGATCTGACCCTGAAGCATCGCTGTCCTGCAGTTTTAGCTCCGACTGACCTGCCTGTATTTTTCTAGTAATTCTGAAGAGCTTGATTGGCTTGATCAGGGGTGTTTGATTGGGCTTGAAGCTGAGCTCTTAGATTTGAAGAGTACAAAAACCTTTTCTTAAATCTTTCCCTAAACTACTTTAATGCTTTTAATTGACATTAACAATGTTTTCATGTAATGTTTTCATGTAATATCTGTTAATCAAGTTGATTTTCTAACGGTCTTCAGACGTCATTGTGGGGTCGTGTATGAATAAGTGACAGTGTGTTTTTTGGCTCTAGATGTTAGATTCAAAAACGTAACCTGTTATAACATTTCTTTTAGAAGTACAGTTCAGTGACTGGTTAACACATTGAGACGAGTGCAAACAAAACTAAACATTTCCTTTCTAACTGTGTTTGATCCGATGTTTCAGGGCTGCCAAGGAGGCCAAAAAGGCGAAGCAGGCAACTAAGAAACAACCCACTCAGAGCACCAAGGTAAGAGATAGTTTTAAAGGGATAGTTCACCCAAGAATGAAAATTAGCCCATGATTTACTCGCCCTCAAGCCATCCTAGGTGTATATAACTTTCTTCTTTCAGACGAATCCAATCAGAGTTATATTAAAAATGTCCTGGCTCTTCCAAGCTCCTCCGTCATCCGCAGGAACACACTCTCTCACGCGTATGACACCAAGCGGAAACTAGAGGTTAGGGTTTATAAAGTTTTAAATATGGAAGTTTTTCTTGTAGTAAGGCATCGATTCATTCAGATGGCCTTTATTCACCCCCGGAGCCGTGCGAGGCACTTTTAATGATGGATGGATGCAGTTTATTGAATTTCTGCTGGACTATTGAATATCGACATTCACTGCCATTATAAAGCTTGGAAGAGCCAGGACATGTTTTTAATGTAACTCTGATTGGATTTGTCTGAAAGAAGAGTCATAAACACCTAGTAAGACTAGAGGGTGAGGGAATCATGGGCTAATTTTTGTTTTTTGGGTGACCTATCTCTTTAAGAATTGTACAAAGTGTGAAGGCTATGAGCTGCTCTTGATCTTTTGTAAGTGATGTATTTTGTGTGGTGTGATTGTTTTTTTGCCCCTTGAGGCGTTGCAGTGTGACTGATTCTGTCACTTCTGCGTCATAAGGTGGCATAGAGTAGAAGGACTATGTCTACACCTAGTACCCTTAATAATGGGTGCTCAGTGTCATTTATAGCCCTACACATTATTGCAAACCAAATGTAAATCCTTGCATTTGAATGTCCTTCATGTAGTCAGTAACGTGTTTGTGTTGTTTTTAGGCCCCTGTTAAAGCCGCAGCCAAACAGAAAATCGCCAAGCCCATGAAGGTCAACGCTCCTCGTGTTGGTGGCAAGCGCTAAGTTCATGTTTTGGTGCTTTGTGTATTAATAAAGGTTTCACTGTCAACCTTGAGTGTCCTCGAAGTATTGATTTCATTAATGTTCAGTGATAAAGACTAACAGTGTTAAAGGTGCAATAGGTGATTGTCTTCAGAAACACCTGGTTCACGTACTCTACGCAGACCGTGAGAGTGACCGGCAAACATCAACAACCTGACCTTTCTTCCAGGTATTGTAGTACTGTTACTAACTGTACTCTAAAGTTTTCTCACCGGTGAATGACACGTGATGTATTGTAATAATGTTGTCTGTGAGCGTTCAGGGGGCGTGGCTTTGGACCGATTTGCAGGGAGGGAGGGACTATCAGACTAAAGTTAGGATTTTCCAAGATGTCCTATTGCACCTTTAAACTTGCATAAAAACACTGTTTGCTGATTGAACAGGTGCCCATCTCTGCTGCAATTGTCTGTTTTTGATTATTTGATTGCAGAACACTGCCATATTACTAACCTGTTTCAGTCTAAAGTGTGTATGTGGTCTCATCTGGTCCTCAGAAATGAAGGATCATATTTGATCTGTACATTTGGTTTTTGTGATTATGTATATTAAGATTATGCAGAACTTAAACTGAATGGGTTAATATATTACAGTATTTGGTATATATAGTTCAGTCACAGTATGGGTGTGTGATGACATTCAAGAACAAAGGGCAAAAGATCAAATTATTTGACTAAATTTTTATAGTAGTCTGTAGCCGTTTCTCTTGACTGAATTGTAGGAGATAAATTTGCTGTTAAAGCTGCAAGAGCAATTTCTTGAAAACATCAAGGTCAAAGGATTTGGAATTTTTCAGGATATTTGTATTTTAGAGAAAATGTTATAAAATCCAGATGCCTTACAAATCTTTATTGGAAATGGTTTAGATCAGGGATGTCCAAAAAAGGGGTGTGGGAAGTCGTGGCCTAATGGTTAGAGAGTCGGACTTGTAACCCAAAGGTTGCGGGTTTGAGTCTCGTACCGGCAGGGATTGTAGGTGGGGAGTGAATGTACAGCGCTCTCTCCCACCTTCAATACCATGACTGAGGTGCCCTTGAGCAAGGCACCGAAGCATAAATGGCTGCCCACTGCTCCGGGTGTGTGTTCGCGGTGTGTGTGTGCACTTTGGATGGGTTAAATGCAGAGCACTAATTCTGAGTATAGGTCACCATACTTGGCCACATGTCATGTCACTTTCACTTTCAAACCTGGGGGCTGTTTAAAAAAAGACGCTAAGAAAAGCGGGGATTAAAGGTCATATGATGCAATTTCAATTTTTCCTTTCTCTTTGGAGTGTTACAAGCTGGTGCATAAAGAAGATTTGTAAAGTCTCAAATCCAAAGAGATATTCTTTATAAAAGTTAAGAGTCAACCACACCTACCTAAAACGGCTTGTTCTAACACGCCCCCACATGTCTACGTCACTATCTGGGAAGATTT